CCTATCTTTCTCGGTATTCATCTCCACCTGAAACGCGGGCTGGCTAAATTTGTCGGTATATTGTAACTATTGTGTTGATAGTAATTTTTTGCAGAGAATATTTTTATTGATTACTTTGACGACGTATTCGAAAGTTTTCTTTCTTCACCCAGTGGAATTATTTGTGAAATAAATGATTGACTACATTTAAATTTATTTTATTTATATTCTAAGGTGAAATAGTAAAGGATTTTTATACATATAATTATTGATCGCATTTTTTGTAAATAAACATTATTGTTGTTATTATTACTAATATTCGATAATATATACTTGGTATCCGCGTGAAAGCTTTGGATGGCTTTATTTATGGTATATTTAAAGTAAAAAACTGATTTTTGTAAAGTGGACAGTGGTACATAATATAAAATATTTGTTGTTTTTTAAATAATCGCATCAATCTCACAATTAATTTGTAGTGTAGCCGAAAATTTTTTTGAAAACTGTTTTATCGTACGCATGTATATTTTATTGTACATAATATATATATACTTTGTTTTAATTTCATAAAAAAATATAATGTATTGGTTTTATCTTTTCTTCGTTCACTGAAAGTAAAAATAGTTCAAAATAAATTAAATACTTAAATAAAAAAAAAACTTTATTTACCAACTATTTTTAATGAACCATTTTATTTCACATAACAAAATACAATCACAAAAAATAAATAAATTACATCAATTTCTTTTATTAAATATTTTAAATAAAAATCAATTTATTTTGGTTCAGCACATAACCAAAAATTGTCATCTCTCTTAATGTTCTCAACGAACCTTCCTAGTGGGGTCTAAACTATAAAATAACAATGTTTGACTTTTGTTAAAGCCAATTGTCCTTGTACCTGATAATAATAATTATCTTTTTTTATTTAAATTGGCCATCTGTATTGGCTAGATATTTAATTTTTTTTCTTGAATTTCCATTTCTGGTGTCAATTTTGAACAAGAATATGGACATTTAATTATAATTATTTCATTATTTATAATGTATGGATGTTTTTCATAAATAAATAATTCACATTTTTCCATATTTATTTTTAAACTTTTCTATCGCTATAAATTCATGATCTTGTCTCCATTTTGTAGCGACTGATCCGTAAAAGTTGAAAATAATATGTTATTAACAGTCTTTTTTGGATCTGTTGTTTTGCGTAATTTGCAAACGGTTTCAAAATTTGAAGCCGTGAGCATATTACTACGATGTTCTTTCCACAGATCATTACTGGCCTGACCTCTAGTAGATACTCCAATTTTAAAAATATCATCTATTGATTTTGGTAAACTAACCAAAAATTGCAGTTTTCTTGTTCCAAAATATCGTCATCATCATCGCATTGAAGTCCGGTAGTCCCTATATTTAGGTGCGCCACTTTTGCGTTTGTTAAAATGAGGGCCCCAGGCCTTTCTACTACATCTACATTTGCTCATTTAAGTAACCAATCTTTGTGTGTGAATCCCAGAAACACTTTTTGACAGCTTTATAAAGAGTGGGAATATAGTTCTCTTTTTATTAAAAGAAATGGCTGCAGCTGTACACCGAACATTATATCCTCCTTCTACTGCAAAATTAATTCTCTTTTCTCCAACAAATTTGGCTATGATTGAATCATATATCTCTGCAGCATTATTAGTCAAGTTTATTAATACTAAACTATGGCTGTTTTGAACCAGCCTATTACCAGCAGATACAATGTCATCCATTAGTCCGCTTCCTTCCATTTCTGTCACATATAGTCTCTCGTATTGTTCTCTTTTACAAAAATATTGTGCACAGTTTGAATGATTTCCAAATGTGTGGTAAGGAGAGTTTTTAATGTCTGCAGTTAATTGCTTCACGTTATCAACAATATCACTGGTATTTTTTCTGGTAATTTACAGCCGATTTAATTCCCACTCGTAACTTCAAAATCCTATCACTTAATTTTTTTTAATCCTGGACTTACTATTTTGTTTCTTGAACTGTATTTTTTTTACAAGATCACGCAAATTTGTGTAATAATTCCTGAGAAGATGGTTTATGCATTATACTTTGCGGACTATTGTTCTTCCGTGGGGTCTCTCCAAGCAAATTTTTTGGTAGTCGGGCCCCGCGACAATTTGGTAAAAAATTTCTAAAAAACAAAAAGGTCTTCAAGCAAAAATTTATCATCCTTACTTGAATTATTCTAAAAAAAAAAGGTCTTCAAGCTTAAACTTCTCCTCCTCTTTACTTGAATTTATTATATCTAAAAAAAAAAGTTTCAAAACTGAAACTTCTCTTCCTCTTTACTTCAATTTCTCTAAAAAATCTTCTCTGAAGGCGTAAAGAACGTCCTCGCCAAAGTTGCCGGGCCCCCCTTATACCCTTATACCGCTGCCGGACCCCCACTTGAGCCCGGCTCCCGAGAATTAGTCCCGGCTACCGCCTCTTGTCGGCCCCGGTGAACACTGCTTCCTCCATCGCCAATAATTTTTACATATTTTAATTTGTGCGTTTTTATACTATTACGGAATCCTTGTAAAATTAGTTCCGATTCCATAGAAGTCGATAAACCATCCCAATTTTTTGTACATTTATGAGTTGCAGCTTTTATGTTTTTAGTTAAAGCTCGAGCACAGATAGGACAATACTTACTTTTAATAGAAACACAAAACTTTTCCAGTTTTCGCCCCAATAATGCAAGCCTGTAAAAAATAAGTGCATTTAAAAATAAACTCTTTATACGTTATGTCAAATATAAAAATGTTTCTAAAGTAGACCATGGAAAAATCACGAATGACGGATTCTTCACAATTCTGTCGGTCATGGCTTACTTTAGAAACATTGTTTTTATTTTTATTAAAATATAAACTTACAACTCCAGATAAAGCGTTATAATTAACTTTATATGACGGCTTAGACCATGCATCGTCAACAATCACTGCAATTAGACCATTTCCGTGTTCATCTACTTCTCCAATATCTTTCGCTAATTACAATTCTTTCAGTCCTGCTTGTTCCATGGCCTTCCAAGCTGCTTCAAAAATACTTTTACTTACCAACTCAATATGAGCTGAGTATTGTCCAAAAGACATTGTGGGGTGTTTGTACATTAGAATTTGAGGTTAGCAAAATAATGAAGGTTGCTTTTATGTTTCCCATAAATTAAAAATTAATATATTCTGTTCTTAGGAATATTTTGAAAATTGTCCATTATTTTCGACTCGAGATATTTCTCAAAATATTCATGAATTCCGATATAATTTGGAAATTAATCAATAAAAATCATATTCGCATATCAATCAAATTATATATTTTTTTCTTTAGTAAAATTTATAATAATAATAGTCTAACCTTTTGCTAGTAACTGCACGACTTTTCTTTTACACTTAGTTACACAACACGTAAAAAATAATAAAAAATATATTATACTAAATTTTTACAATCAAAAGAGCGAGTTAGACTCTGGCCGAATCACTTTATATTTGATAATCCAGGCTACCGTTGGTTACAAGTATATGATAAAGAGGGAAATATTTTACGAAATAAAAATATTATTGGAAAACGGTTTACTATAAAACTCAATTAGTTTTTGATTTTAGCAAAGACACAAACTCCAGTTTTCCAAAAAGTTATATCTGCAAATTGATAAAATTTAATATTCATTTTTAATTTTTATTTAAAAAACTAGGTTGTAATAAAAAAATTAAAAGACTAGAGATTATTAGGATGTTTCTTTTTCTTTATCGACTACGGAGCTTAGTTGACTACGGCACCGCATTTATTTGCGAGCCAATCTTGTGGTAAACGAGACACCATCAATATTCTTTAAGTCGCCCCGGAGCACCACGACAAATAATAATACTACCCGTCCCTTTTCCCTGACAAGCTCAGATTTTGGGGTAAAAATTCACTCTTAAGGGGGTGAATTAGGGAGGGTATTGTAACGATAGTCTAATTTATTTATAATTTATTTATTTAAAACACACTATTTACAATTTATTTCAGACGTACTATTTAATTTATATAATACTTAGACACTAACTAACAATTTATTTATTGCACTCTTCACACTTTTCATTCCAATATTCCAAACTAAACTAAACTGTGCGCTGATACGTCGGCTATTTATATTAGTCCAACTCTGCTACTAGAAGACACTAGAGGCTCTCGAACATTCCATTTCTATGACTAAACGGCACTCTCTGCCCGTTCTAGGCGTTCCTAGTGCATTAGCATAGGCATTCCTGAACGTTCCGTCGCCTCGAGCACGAGTCGGTTACCATCTGAAGGTCGCGCGTACACAGGGTAGGCTTTAGGAATTAGTACTAGTATTATTATTATATTCATATTATTTTTTAATTATTTTGTTTTGTCTATCTTATTCAAGGTTAAGTGGAAGAGAAGTTCACAGCTTATATTGTGCCAATGAATGAAATGAACTGCGCCTTTTAATTTTAGTCAACTATGTAATTTTTATTTACATTTTTTATTTATTAAATTTTCTAAAATTATTAAAGTCTTTTGTTATTATTTATTTATTATATAGGCCTTCAAAAGTACTAATTATGATAAATTTTTATTTTAATTTAAAATTTGAAAATAATAGAGATACTAGAAAAATTGGACTACCTCACACTAATTGGCCACCCTGAATATTCCAAAATATTAAAGATATATCAATCAAATACGAGTAAAGTTATTTTAAAGTATTTTAAAGTTTAGCGTGATGAATAAAAACTTGAAAGTCACCGATAGAGTAACATTTTCAAACACTGATTGAAGTGTTTCTAGATATTGTTAAGTTTGAAATTGTGAAAAATTACATCCCGGAAATTTAGCTTTATTAAATTAAACATTATCAGAACATTAATTATTTACTTGGGGAAAATTACCGGTCTAATAACCAAATATAAGCGCAGAAGCGTTTTTATAAATATCAATCTTAAAACATTTTTGATAGGTACCTAAATATTTATAGACGTATTTTTATGTTTTTTCAGACTTAAGAAGATGCAAAATAAATCTCAAATACCGCACACAAAAATATGTTTGACAGTTTTTATTATTTGCTGTTTAATTTTAACATTATTTTACTATGACGAAGACCTTTTAAGTACGGCTATCCCCTATGCGACTGTCATCACATGGGATGGTATGTATGTAATTATTTTTTATTTACGCATCAAAGCAAAATGATCATGCTCTATATTTTTAACAACATTTTGTTTGTTCTTTAGCGCAATTTAGTTCTTTATTTTTGTATTTTTGTTTTAGTGCGTAATCAGTCTGCTACCAACAGCACGCCAAATAATGCTTTAGTGGATGAACTTAATAATATTAATCTTAACACCTCTCACAGCACTACCATCAATTTTACTAGTAGTACAATTACCACTATTATTACTAATTCGGGTTCATCTACAAAAGCCAATAATATTGAAAAAAGTGTTCCTTTATTAGATAAAGTGATCACTACAACACAAGCATATACCTTTACCACGCTTCCTCCAGGTAATGTATTTTTTAATTTAGTATGTATATAATCCGTAGAAAGTATTTTGAACCAATAATAACAAATAAAAAAGTTATAGAAGGTTTTAAATCAATTTTATATAATATATTTTATACAGTTTCGACCCCTGAACGTTTTCCAATGCGCGTTGCACAAGTGCATGTGGAAACTACAAAGAGTTAGCATTAGGGCGAATAGGAAACGAATAATATCAGTGTTGCCAGTTTATACGGCCCGATCTCGTTATAACGTTGGCCAGGCCGTATAAACTGGCATCGCTGATAGTATTCGTCTCCTGCTCCCTCTAATGCAAACTCACTGTAGTTTTCACACGCACTTCTGCAAAGGCGTATTAAAAACTGTTCGATAAACGATTTTGTATATATTTTACATATATTTTACATATATTTTACATATATTTTACATATATTTTACATATATTTTACATATATTTTACATATATTTTACATATATTTTACATATATTTTACATATATTTTACATATATTTTACATATATTTTACATATATTTTACATATATTTTACATATATTTTACATATATTTTACATATATTTTACATATATTTTACATATATTTTACATATATTTTACATATATTTTACATATATTTTACATATATTTTACATATATTTTACATATATTTTACATATATTTTACATATATTTTACATATATTTTACATATATTTTACATATATTTTACATATATTTTACATATATTTTACATATATTTTACATATATTTTACATATATTTTACATATATTTTACATATATTTTACATATATTTTACATATATTTTACATATATTTTACATATAATTTACATATAATTTACATATATTTTACAAATATTTTACATATATTTTACATATATTTTACATATATTTTACATATATTTTACATATATTTTACATATATTTTACATATATTTTACATATATTTTACATATATTTTACATATATTTTACATATATTTTACATATATTTTACATATATTTTACATATATTTTACATATATTTTACATATATTTTACATATATTTTACATATATTTTACATATATTTTACATATATTTTACATATATTTTACATATATTTTACATATATTTTACATATATTTTACATATATTTACATATATTTTACATATATTTTACATATATTTTACATATATTTTACATATATTTTACATATATTTTTACATATATTTTACATATATTTTACATATATTTTACATATATTTTACATATATTTTACATATATTTTACATATATTTTACATATATTTTACATATGTTTTACATAGGTTTTACATATGTTTTACATATATTTTACATACAGCTTACAAATAGTTTATACAGGTGTCCCAGAAAAAAGTGCCATAATTTTAACTACGTATTTAGCGCATTAAAACAACTTTTGCGAGATAAGTTTATTTCTAATCGCCTTAGTACTTAGTATTCAAGAATTTTTTTTAAATTGTAATATGTTTTAGTTACCGGCCACTGAGGTAAATCGAGGAATATGAATAAGTAAATAGTAGATAAACAAAAAATCCACAAAGTAGGTTAAGGTACACTATTACAGCGAAAATAATCTAGGGCAGCAACAAGTTTGTTTAATCTAGCTTTTAAAAGAAGAATTATAAAATTTATTTAGAAAAGGTTCACAGTGTTGTCATGATGGTTTAAAGGTATGATACCAAACTTTTTAATGGTAGACTTGGTTATAAAATTTCACCTTTTTAAATTTCCTAATACCAGGCGTAATTAAAATATGCTTTCTTTTTTTGTTAATAGTATAACTAAAAGATTAAAATACAGTTTACTGGTCCGGATTATTTCCACTGTGATGATACATTAGGTGCTATAAAATTTGGCTATGTTATAAAACTAAATGTAAACAATGTTTTGTTAATGTTTGCACATTAAGAAATAAAGAATTTTTGGCTTACCCTATAAATTAAAATCACAAGGATTTATATCAGGCCACGGAACACGACTATTTCGAGCTATTCACCTCTCAGGATAGGGTTCATTTAACCACTGTCTTACAATCTGGGCATTATGGCAAGGAATTCCATCATAAAGGTACCATATGTTTTGACGGATTTCCAGTGGAACATCTTAGGGTAAATTGTAGCAGTCATCGTTTAAAAAAATTAGATATCTTTGACCATCTAATCGACCGGGCATAAACAGCCCACACATTAAGACAAAATCTTTCCTAAAAATTTCGAGGGTTTGTAGCATGAGGATTTTCATCCGACAAGACGTGGGTATTGTGCATATTAAATACACCTTCTCTGGTGAATCCAGCTTCATCTGTGCTTAATACGAAACGTAAAAATTTGGGTTTTGTCTTATTATTTCTTTGAATCAGTTGTAAAAATGATGTCTACATTGACAGTCCTGAGGCTGCAAAATCTGAACTTCTTGTACGTGATAGGGATGCAACCGTTGTTCTTTTAAAATTCTTTATACCATTATTTTAGATACATTATGCTGTAAAGGCTCGATGACACTGGGCTAGTTTACAAGCTGCTAGTCGGCGAGTTTACAAGCTAGCGAGACAGCGAGTAAGCGAGTATCGATGACACACAGAAGGTTCTACTAGCTCAGTAGCTAACTAGCTATCAAGTTGAAATCTCGTGTTTGTTGTTTTGCGTGTGCGCGTTGTTTATTTTCTGAATCCACGTGTTGTTTTGCGTGGCGTGTTATTTACGTTTTACCGTGTTTTTTACGCTGAACAATGAAGTGGAACACGCGTGGTATCGTAGAGTTTCTAAACATATATGAGCAGTATCCGATTCTGTGGAATATAAAAGATAAAGACTATTCCAACACCAAAATAAAGGACGACATTTTCAAGAATCTCCTAGAGAAACTTAATGAGAAACAGCTAACTGTGGGTATGGATGTCAAGCAGTTGAAGACCAAAATAAAATCAATTAAGGACGTCTACAGACAAGAAATAAATAAAATAGAGAAATCTAAGAAAAGTGGCTGTGGTACTGAAGAAGTATAGTTAGCATGGTTCAAAGATGCAAACTTTTTGGCAGAGGTTGTGGCCACAAGAAGCAGCTAATCAAATTACGTGAGTAAAATATATTTTTATTATATAATAATACATATTAAAACTTAGACCGTTCTCCAGTTTTTTTGAGTCCAGCTTTCTCCCATTGCCAAGGCAGAGGATTTTCTTCTGTAAAGTAGGTAACATATGCTTTTCTGATCTCCTCAGCAGTTCGACTGTAATGGTTTCCTCCTAGGTGATTAATAGGCTGCACAATGCCAGCATTTTCCCTCCAAAGCCCAGGTGTGATATTCCCAGTATTCAAGTCCTCTCTATCTACTGCTTGTTGTGGCATGTAGTTACCCGGATCAGTCTTTCGTAGCCAGTTATGAAGGCTACAGGCAGCCCAAATGACTTTATCGATAGTTTCCGGTGCCAAATCAATCGGTCTTGAAAATATTCTGAATCGCCATACTAGTATGCCAAAAGCATTTTCTACGACTCTTCTGGCACGGGAAAGACGATAATTGAATATTTTTTGGTCAGGACTAAGAGCTGTTTTACTGTATGGTTTCATAAGATTTTTCCTCAAAGGGAAAGCATCATCTCCTATAATAACGCCATATTCAGGCAAACCAAGAGTCTCCTTTTCCATTCACCATGTAATGTTTGGAGTAGAGAACAACAGACAACAGCTAGTGTGGTAATATGAAGGCAACACTTTTCGAAGAAAGGTTTTATTTAATATAGTACAACTAGTAATAATTGATACAGGCACTTCGACCGCAAGCCTGTCACAACTGACAACTAATGATATTTCAAAGTACTGTCTCTAAATATAGCACTATCGCTTGCTCGACCATTTGCACCTACGTCAATATACGTAAAGCAGTAATCGGCATCAACCATAGCAAATAATATTATACTATAGGTTTTTCTATAATTGAAGTAGACTGAACCGGAACACGGAGGCCTCTTAATTATAACGTGTTTCCCGTCGATTGCACCAAAACATCTAGGAAAATTCCAACGCTGAACAAATTTATTTTCTATTTCTTTCCATTCATCAGCTTTTTTAGGGACCTGAGAACAAACAAAAATTATAGGTTTATTTTATTTTTTAGGAACTGTCACAAGGCAGTCAAACCACACCACCAGACGAAGACAATAAAAGTGTCGAGTTTGAAAATGACGAGGACTCATCACAAGAACGTTCTAAGTCGCCTGAAAATATGGGACCACCCCCGACACCAAGGAATAGAGCTAAAAAACGACCGAGAATTGAAGAAAAATCAAATGAAATTTCAGAAGCTATAAAAAAATTGGATGAAATTGCCAAGGAGTCGTCCGATGAGAAGCCCTATGACCAGTTTGGGAAATTTGTGGCTTCTGAGCTGCGTCTCCTACCACAGCGACAGGCCATTTTGGTGCAGCAGGAAATCCAAAACTCAATTATTAATGCTAAGCTGTCGTCTTTACAGCAAGAGGCCCCCAATCTGTCCATAGTGCGTTTTCACCTTTTTCAGATGACTCATTTGCTTCGACCTCTGCATCATCGATGCACAACGACGATGGGGATGTTTTGCAGCAGGTCCTAATCAATACATTCGGAGGAAACACAACATAAATATTTGTCAAATAAATTGTATATTTTCTAAAAACTGATGTTTAATTTTTAATTTCACTCACCTCAATGAACGGTCGAAGGGCGCAGGAAATTGATGTTAGCACTTCGGGTAAAAACTTCGAAATAGTTGATTCCGGAACTCTGAACAGGTATTCCAAAGACTTCAAAGAATCGCCCGTGGCTAGATAACGTAATGTTATTTCCAATTTCGTGGTTACTGGTATTGCCGGTCTCATTTTCGTATCTTTCTTTTTGAGCATTCCATTTACCATCTGCAGTAACTCATCAAATTTGGAACTGTTCAATCTCAACATATTTCTATAAGCCAAAGGATCTTCGTCCTTCAACTCTCTCAATAAACGGCTAGAAGCACCATATATATCTCGTTTTTCTATCCATGATCTTATCCATTTTCTTTTCTGTTTCAAGTTTTTCTTTTGTTTTCGTTGTAAATCCTTCTTGATAACACTTGCTAAAATAATTACTCTCGCGCGAACTACTTTCGTCGACATTTTAGCTTTCAACTGCCAAAACGCAAAGATACTCGCAACTAGTTACTAGCAGCGATGATGACACACGGCTAGTTAACTAGCTTACAAGCCACCACGCCTGCGAGTGGCGAGTAAATTAGCCCGGCTTTCTATTTTACTAGCAGCGTTTTTACAATCGGATAGTTGACTAGCAGATTGTAAAAAAGCCGATGACACGGGGCGAGTTTACAAGCTACTAGCGAACTCGCTGGTTTGTAGCTCGTAAACTAGCCAAGTGTCATCGAGCCTTAAGGCCAATCTACGTGTGCTTGTCTTTGGATTATTGGCAACATTTTTCAAAATTCCATTTTCTACGTTTGCAACACAAATAGATCGTTGTCTGCTTCGGTTATGAACTGCCCCTTAAAAGGATCCATTATCTCGAACAGTGGCCGTTTGCCCGTAAGGGTACTTGAGCCCGTGCCTTAGTATAATTAACCAAAAAAAAAAATAAAATAATATACATATTTTATATTTTCTTTTCCTCAATGCCTATTATTATTTTATCTAATATTCAGCGCAAACTGCGTTGGCACGACACTGGACGACCGGTCGTTGAGCGACGTTCCGAGAATTCCGAAATTAAGTGGAAGATGGGCACAGTTAATGTGTGCCTCTGTTGTTTTCTCTCTCATTATGAATCGAAAAACGAGGACAACGATAATATCGCTTAGCAAGAGATGAACACATGCGATGGATTATACGTCACAAGCGGGGCGCTGTCCTTATAGTGACGTGCTGTACCCATGGCACAGATTACCTAGACCAGATACGAATGTAGGCAGCGGCATCGTTACAGGCTCCCTCACAAAGGCGATGCCGGTTTCGGCTTAAGGTGCGCGTTTGTTGGACCATGATAATAATTTATTTATTGTGATTACGAAAAAACGTTAGTTGGACCATTGGAATATTTAAGAAATAAAACTACAAAGAAAAATAACTTTTTTTTATAAAGCAGTCAAGAATATGATGAAAAAAATCAATAATATTTATAAATGGGACAAAATTTTAATTTTTCTTTTGGTTTTGTCTGACTTTTTCGAGGATTTCAAATCTCTGTTTGCATATTTAAGAGTATAAAAAATTTTGAGTCTTATAAATAATTTAATGGTGTACATTTTCGCAAATTGTTGTCAAGGATGACCAAATTCTATTTTGATCATCTCAAAAAGGTATGCGTTGGAAATTCCAGGCTTAGTTGACAAAATATCAAATAGAGATATAAATATTTTTTCTAATTTGAAAATATAAAAGACAAATTTTTCGCTTGGAGATTTTAAATTGCCAAACATCTTTTCTTCAGAGTCGTATGTTTTAAAATGCTCCTACACGATATAATTTTACATCGAAGTGTGTCAATACTATTTATGTTTATAAAGAGGATTTGATTAAATGTCTCGAAGAAATAATGAACACAGAATTCGATAAAAAAACTATTAATCAGACTAAAGGGTTGATAAATTTTGAAAGACAGATTTTAGTTTCTGGTTAATTTTCTTCAGCAAAATAATGTCAAATTGCGATATACTTTTTTATCAACTGCAGAGTAGACAGCTCGATGCTCTCAAGGTTAAGATAAACATATCAAATTTTGCAGCAGCTATTCAAAATATTAGAAATACTACGCTAATTCATAAAGAATGGCAATCACAACAAGACCCACAAGAACTAAACTTAAACGACAACACCCAATCAGGTCCAAGTACAAGCAAGAAGAGACGGTTTGTTGAAAAGGAGGACCCCATTCCTAATTTAAGGATATGTAAGGAAATTTGTGATACAATAGTAGTGCAGGTAAATGAACGTTTTAGTTTTACTACCCACCTAACAATTGCAAGTTTATTTGATAGTGAAAAATTTAAGGACTACCGAGGTTGTTTTCCAAATGAGGACGTTAAAACTGTGTGTAGTTTATTTCCAAACGTAAACAGATTGAAATTAAAAAACGAACTGTCTATACTTTACACCCGAGATTACTTTGTGCAACACAATGGGACCGTACCGTTATTACAAATTTTTTTTGAGAACAATTTGACAATTACATTTTCGGAATCTCTGGAGCTACTAACTATCCTGTGTACAATTTCCATGACCACAGTGGAGAGTGAAAGATGTTTTTCGACACTAAAACGTATTAAAACATTTTTAAGGAACACTATGTGCCAAGATAGAATGTGCGCGTTAGCCATGTTATTCATCGAAAAAAAAAAACTTATTCGGCCCATTCCAAATTTTAATAATCTGGTCATCGATCACTTCGCTAGCCAAAAATCCAGAAGAATGGACTTCACTATAAGAAATAGTATACAACTGCAGCGGTACCTAGCAGTTAGTCTTCAATTTTGTAATATTTAATTTTTTTTTGAAATACATTTAATTTTCATTAAGCGGAGAACTTGTTTTCCTAAGGGAAAAACGAATCCCGGGATTCCTTTTCAGTGTGCCCCGCTGCCGTTAGTGCCCACGAGCCGCCACTGATCCCGAAGGCCTTGAATAACACGAAGAAATTTGCGTCTGGTTGGCGTGGCTCGATTTGGAAAACGTTCGTTATAAATCTTACGTTCAAGCATGGAATTTCCACGGGCTTCACCGGAAACTAACACCATGTCAGTGTATTCACTATTGGTAAAAATCGGCATCTTTAAAAGCAAAATAAATCCGAACCGCCAAGCTATTAATCGACATGCACACAACTAAAATTAAAAATAATCGTCGGGCGTATGTCATTTGACCTGTAGCAAAAATGTATAACATTGTAAATCATGTATTAATAACTTTGCTAGATTTTATTTTAATTATTTCTTTTATCACGCAGTTCGTTGGGGTTATTTTAGGGTTTACAAATATAAAAAAAAAATGGTGAATTTTCAAAACTTGTATTTGACAAAAGTTGTTTGTTTTGATGCGCTAAATACGGGGTTAAAATTATGGAACTTTTTCTGGGACACCCTATATAGTTTACATATATATTTTTTATATTTTTTATATCAACATAGATTTAACATAGAGTTTATATAGTTTTACATATAGCTTACATAGAGTTTCACATAGAGTTTCACATAGAGTTTCACATAGAGTTTCACATAGAGTTTCACATAGAGTTTCACATAGAGTTTTACATAAAGTGTTACGTAGTTTTATATAGAGTTTTACATAGAGTTGTACCTTAGGTTTTACCTAAAGTTTACATAGAGTTTACCTTGAGTTTTACATAGAGTTTTTTAGAGTTTAATATAGATTTTACCTAGATTTATTACATTTTACAGGTATTTATTTATACTTTACATACATTTTACGTATGTTTTCAGTTACATGGATTTTACATATAATTTACTGATATTTAACATAGATTTCACATATACTTTACATATATTTTGCATAAAGTTTACATATATTTTAGATAGAGTTTATATAGAGTTTACATGGAGTTCACATAGAGTTTACATAGAGTTAACAGATTTTATGTAGATTTCTTATATGTTGTAATAAAATTTTAAAACTCGGTTTTTTGCCTAAGTACTAATTAAAAAAATACTCTTTTTGTTGTTGTAGATGCTTATGCAGATTACCTTGTCTCAAGTTCAAAATGTAAAATACCCAGTTACCATCCATTCAATAAGGAAGCCAAGAAATTTTACAAGAAACAAAAATACAAATCTTGTACTTCTAAGAAACTTCTCACTTATGTAACCGTAAATGACAATACAGCAACTCTTTTTGTTGAAGAAAGCAGAGTTCCGTCCTATTCTAGCAGCGGAGTAACCTGTTGCTATTCAAATGTTACTAGAGTGCTATACGAAAAGGATCCAGACAGTAAAATTAAGTAAGTAAGAAAAATGCTCGAAATCAATAACACAAATATTATTCAAGAGGTCGTGATTAGTTTCGATTTAAAATTGCCATCATGAGACAATAATAAAAAATTTTACAATAAACATTAAACTCCCAATGCCATCTTGGAGAAATTATTTTGTATTTTTTCTTTGATTAATTATTAGTGTAGAATGTTGCATAATAATGAAGATTTATTTTTACAGGTTATCACCATGTAAATATTTTGTCAAAAAAACAACCATATACAAATATCCAGTATATGTGAAATGTCTGAATGTAATAAACAGGCGTCAAGTCTATGAAAATGTTCACGCTTCTGTTTTATTCGATGAAAATGTCGAGAAGAAACTAAACAACTTTGACAATACAACAAATACTTTTAGCGTCCTCTTTATTGGTATAGACAGTATTTCCCGTCTGAATTTTATACGTTCCCTTCCAAATACATACCAATTCGTAGAAGAAAACGGATGGCTACCTTTAAAGGGTTACAACAAAATGGACGACAATACATTTCCTAACGTTATGGCCATTTTAACAGGATATAACCAGAGCCGAGCCTATTCAATTTGTAATCCCAGAGCATTGGGAAAATTAGATAAATGTCCAATAATTTGGTATGATTTTAGAAATCTGGGTTATGTGACAGGATATGCGGAAGATGAAGGTTCTATCAATACTTTTAACTATAGAAAGAAAGGTTTTTCGGAACCTCCTGTAGACTACTACTATAGACCGTACATTCTAGCTACTGAAAGATTAACTAAAGTTCATAAAGATGGCATGACTTATTGTACCGGACCGGAGACGGCAGGAGAAAGAGTAATGAATCTGGCCAAAGACTTTGCAGTTACATTTAAAAATTATCCAAATTTCGGTTTCTTTTGGATGAATTCATTTAGCCACAATGAAGTCAATTCACCGTCAGGTATGTATTATTCACTTTTTTAATATATAGAGTGATCCTAAACTACGCCGACGCTGTTAAAATATTATTGGAGATCTTAAAACAATAAAGATGCCCGTAAGAAGACGAAGAAGAAGCAAGAGAAGAAGAAAAGAAGAAGACTAACAAATCATTCCCATAGTACTTAGTACTGTGAGTTTTGCATCGCGCACTGTTCTAACAAACCGTAGCTTAAGGTAGTTCACTAGTAAAACGGCTTTTTTTTTAAGAATTCAATAAAATTTAAATTGTAACGGCCCACCCCAGGTACCCCGTTTGTTTATTGTTTTAATCTCTGAGATGTTATTGTTTACCTAACAAGTTTATTTTAGTTTATACTTACTGTATTTGTCCTTTTTCCTCTAGTAGTAAAAGTGATCGTCTAGTTAATTAATTGATAATGTTAATTAAGGTAAGCCAGGATTCGATGCAAAGTTTGGTGAAAATTGATAAATAATACATACAAATTCATATTTAAACTCTTTTTATTTTTCATACTTGTGTGCTGTGATGCAATAATTAGCAGAGTATATTACAATTGGTACTATTTACTGAGATCTCACTTGAGTCCCGTTCATTTGCTATCAAGATATATTTTATTTAGGTTGATGACCAATGGAATTAACGAACAGCGCCAATTCGCCAGTTGGTTAACTACTGTGTTGATGTTTATATTTTTATTTGGGTTGATGTCCAACGGAGTTAACGAACAGCGCAAATTCGCTAGTTGGTTTACTACTATGTTAATGTTGATTTGATTTTATTCTAGATATACACAGGTTGCACCCTCTTAGGTAAATATTTAGACGATAATAGATGTGATGACCAACAGAAGTAACGAACAGCGCCAATTCGCCAGTTGGTTACCTTTCTATGTTGATTTCACTTAGCATATAGGTTCCCCCCTTGAGCTAACGGACAGTGTATTCACCAGTTGGTTAACTTTTACCATCTTGGTTTGTACAATTTATCCAAGATAGCACATCCCTGTATATTTCTAAAATAATGATTTTTATACTTTCTATTGAAATGACAATACAACCCGGTATATTTTTTAATATTGAATATTATAATTTCTATTGAAATTATTTAATACAACCCTGTATATTTCTTAATATTGATTTCTATAATTTCTAATGAAATACTCAAAATTCACCCATCGAAATAGACGTCTATTCTAACTGACCTGAAGGCCATGTGGTTTATTGGTTACATTGATAATATTGTGCAGCAAATGTCAAGCTCTCGCTTAAAGGAAACCCTGGTGGTATCGCAAATAAAGTTACATAAATCTTTTGACTCACCATTGAAAATACAGACTTTAGATTATGTACTAATTTCATCTAGCGTTATGACGCCCTCGATTTAGGTACGTCGCAGCGTTGAGCGTCGCCTTGCGTCGAGGCGCCTAGCCTCGTGGTGGAAAGGATGGTACTGCATTGGAACAGATATACGGTAGAAGTATTTAGGTGGTGCGGGACGTGATGAAGGGTGTCGACAAGGATATTATGAAGGAAATATTTAGGGGCGGCAAGCGTCGAGAAGTAGAGAGATGGGACGTTGGGCGTCGGAATGAATGTAAGGTGGGAAATACTTAGATGGTGCGGAATGTTCGAGACGTAGATAAGTAGGGAAGTAGGACGTCTGGACGTTGAGCGTCGGGATGAATATAATGGTAGGAAATACTAAAGTGGTGTTAGAAGTAATAGCGTAGAAAGGTAGGTAAGTAGGACGGCAGGACGGCAGGACGTTGACACCTTCGGGGATAGGAGGTATTGTAGGATAGACGTCGTTAGGAAGAGCGTTTTAGGAAAGGTACAGACCATATAACTGGATACAAGTGATAAAGTAATTGCTTGAATGTAAAATAATAAAATAAATGATTGCACATCAAATAATAAAAAATTAATGAATCCGAGCTCATTTGGGTCTGGCTTCCTATACTAGTCATAATGGCTTTTTGTGACGTCTCTGTGTGTCTTAGTTCCCAGCGAAACGTATCTGGGTGGAAATGGGGTGGCTGATTTATTACTTGCCTTGAAAATTTTGTGTATCGAAAACAACGTTACTATTTAAACGCACTTAAGATAAGTGTGTCAAGTGTTTCTTAGTCTGGGTTCCCATATACGTGCACAAAAATTGGACCTCTTACGGACGTGGTTATAGATATTATTTATTAGGTGTCGTAAATAAGATTTAATTATCTGGGAGATTTTTCGTTAAATAAAGGATTTCAATTTAATAAGAATGCAATATTATATTTAATAAATGGAATTAATAAATTATTAAGGTACCTGGGTGCAGTAGGTTACAAAATATAAGGTTAATGAAAGTGTCTTTTACGTAACTAAAAAAAAAAATTACATTTTTGACTGTTTGTGAAACGAGATATTAACAATCAAAATGTGCATAATTAACACTCTTTAAGCCTGTCATGTACACAAGCAAGGCATTTATTTTAAGATATCTCGAAAACGGTTCTTTCCATATTTTTTAAAAACTAATGTAACGTAAATCAAGAAGATATCAATTTCTAAAAAAGCTGAATTTTTTTACCGTCTTGGTAAAAAGATATAGATTTTTAAAATAAAAATATTTTTAAAGCAGTCGACGCGTAGTTGCGTAAAGTGATTACAACTTGGCAACGTAATCACTACACTTAACGCATGGTAACACAATAATACTGGATCAGCTAAAAGGTTGTTAAAACCTCACGAGGTGTTCTTGAAAAATTAGTTCGTCCACTGTATTTGAGAACTGGAATAACCGGTTCTGTTTGAACTAAAACAAGTCCTTAAAATTAGTAAGAGGAAATCACAAATTTTTATAGCCCATCATTCATGTTGTTCCGCAGCACCCTGCAGCATGCTGCGGTCATCATAAGTAAAGGTTTGAGTAAAAGAAGAAGAGGGAATATTCGAGAAATGTCATTCCAAGTCAAGAAAAATCTGGACAGTTCGAGAAAGTTCGCGAAGGTTAAAGCAAGCTATATAAGTCGGTGATCCTGACGTCAGTCAGTCAGTTTTATGATAGACGTTATACGTTAAGGTTATCAGTTGTATAGTTATTGTAAAAGTAAAGTTGAAATAAATTGAGATACCAAAAACCTGCATAAAACAATATATTTGCGACGTTGCCGGATGGATTTTATTTACAATTATAACATATCCATAAATACATAAGCTTACATGTGTTGTGTACAGTCTCTTATAAAAATAAAATTGTCTAGCATTGAGAATCTCGAACTTTTGGTATTCACCATTATGCGATATTTTTATGTACGACTGTCGTGAGTGAACTACCTTAACGATTCGTGAATTACAATGGCGTGAAAACAGTTCTTTTTTTTCTATTTTTCGTTTACTAATTCGCTGATCTAACTATCCAATTCATCAACTTCTCTTACTCTCTTGCTTTTATAATGAATTTGTTTTTTATATTTTTTTTTGTTAATATCACTTTTTTTTATGTTTTAGGTATGGACAATAACATTAGAAAATTCCTAGAAGATATAACAAAAAAAAACGTGACCAAAAATACCATTGTGATTTTTATTAGCGATCATGGTATGCGATTCGGTCCTATACGAAAAACCTTGACTGGATGGCTAGAAGAACGGTTACCCTTTATATATGTTTCTTTTCCAGATTGGTTTAAAGAAAGGTATCAAAAAGAATACGAAAACTTTAAAATTAATTCGCATAGATTGACTTCTCCTTATGACCTTCACATGACTCTTAAACATATCCTGGTTTTATCTGGGCGTAATTTCACTGTAACAAAAAGTGATGCATGTCCCACTTGTAAGTCTCTTTTTGAGGAAGCAGACAGTGACAGGTCCTGCGCTGATGCTGGCATTGAGCAGCACTGGTGTACCTGTTCTGGTTTCAAAGATGTAACTCTAAGTTTTGAAGTGAGAAATAAATTATCAAAATTTATGTTGAATACAATACACGATATAATTCGTTCAAAAAATAGTGATCATAGATGTGCCAAATATTTAGTAGGAAAAATTTTAGGAACTAGAATTTCTCAAGGATCTTCTAACAACATAACATATATCCTTTTTCATTTAGAAACCAAACCTAACGCAGTATTTGAGAGTACTATTAGTTTTGTTGGAGATATTACTACTTCAAATTTTTCAATTTCTGGTGATATTAGTAGGTTAGATAGTTATAATGAGCATAGCAAATGTGTTAGTGACGCATATCTTAGAAAATATTGTTACTGCCGTTCAACTGGTGAAAGAATATGAAAAGTGCCTTAATTTATGATAATACTGAAGTTTTTTTAGATCTAAAATTTATTTTCTATTGCTTTTACATTTTAAATGTATTATAGTATCGAATGTTAAAACTTTGAATGTTTTGTTCCTATGTAGGTATGTTAATTTTTACCATAGCAGTAAGTACTTAATAGTTTTAACCACAATTAAGACAAAAATTTTAAATTTGTTACCTAAGCATATTATAAACAGTTCATGATTAATTACAACTAACTCCAGTGAATTTTAGGAAGAGCAAAACGACTATAAGATGCCTTTTTGAGAATTTACAATAATTAAGAGTGAGACAAAAACAAAATATACCTAAAATGTGAAACAAACATACTTTTATATAAAGTTTTGCAATAGTACCTAAAGGTTGTATTTTTAAAACATGTGAATTTTACACATCTTTTACTGATTCATGAACGTTTTTAAGACTTTTTTTAAAAAAGTGGGAAGCTACGTAATCAAAAATAATAGCCAAAAACTATGTGATAAAAAATTAAAAATGTATTGCTTAATGTTAAACGAATTTGATGTTTTTGTCATGTTAATTGAAATCAAAAACAAAAAAAAACTAAAAAAAATTAGTTTTCAAAAAAATTTCACACATCAATTTAGTAAACAATGCACGTATAAAACCGATAACATATTACATTACCAGTGATGTACACAAGTGATGTAGACTATTTTGTCTACGACCACAAATCAATTTTAACGAAAAAATTTAAAATCAGGAAATTTACCAATGGAGGTTTAATCTAGATCTGGTTGGTTTATCTTCGGCTATGGATCATAGAACTGGCGTTTAATTCAAGATAAAAATAATTTTTTTTGTTTTCCCAAAAATAATAAAATTGAAAACTACACAAGTCTGTAGTTTATTGGTTTTAAATATATTTAAGCATCTTAATTACTTCTTTTAGTTTTAAGGGAGAAGCACTTAAATCAAAATAGAAATAATTCAACTTACCAGGGTATCTATTTTTAAATCTCAGGGAGTAGAAATTTTGAGGGAGAATGAGACAAAAATACAAATTTGGTGCGTTGCAGATAAAGGGGAAAACCGGTTTTCTATTTTCTCAAATTCAATAATAGCTACTCAGTGGCGTAGCCTGAAATTTGTCATAGGGGTTCCATTAAAATACTAAAATATTTCAGTGTGGAGGTGCTTCATGGGGGGAGGCGTTATGACCCACAAAACCCCCATTGCTACATCACTGAAGCAGTCCGATTTCGTGTAGGAGTTTCAATTTCAGTATGTCGATGATCTGTATCTGTAACGTGTGGAGGGTGGATTTCCTCACTAGGTCCATTCTCTATATCTGCAACGTGTGGAGGGTGGGTTACTCCACGACACTTAGGCCTTGTTAGGCCCATTCTGCATCCTCCTGAGATGATAGGCACCTCCTAGCTTGTGAGCCAGCCCACAGATTTAATGTAGTTGACAACGTCGCCAAGAGGTGCTTCTCTTATATCGGCCGGTGTTAGCCGATACTCGCCGAACACAAATCTTCTATTAAATGAGGGCGTCGAGCAATCGTATAGGATATGCTTGATGGTCTCATCTTCTTGTTCGCTCCCTCTGTAGAGTGCGGATTCTGACAGCCCTATGATATGGAGATGCTTTCGTACTTGGCAATGACCAGTCAGAATGGCTGTGACTAGGCGCAGTTTCTGTCTAGTCATAGTCAAATATTTATTTGCTGCAGTGTTGTCAGGATAACTTAAGAGCTGCCTGGTAACTCTGCAGTTTCTTGTTTCATCCCATCTTTCCTTGAATTTCATAAGGGAATGTTCTTTGATTAGGTCTGTCACTACCGATTTTATCTGGCCAATGGAAGGGTCAGGTCCAAAAAGTATTTGGTTGGCTGCTTCCTTGGCTAGTGAATCAGCAGGACGGTTACCTTTCGATGTGGCGTGACCTTTAATCCATCTTGAGGTAACCAGATGGATACTTCGGCCAAAGCTTCGTGATATTCTAGTACTAACCCTGAATAAATTCGTGGTCTGTTCAGGGTGACTAGTGCTTGTCTGCTATCTGTATAAATGAGCATATTGAAAATGTTCCTTCCAGTGATATTGTTTCTGGTTATTTCTTTTGCTGCTATGAGAATCCCCGTTAGCTCTGTTTGAACTACACTGGCACTATGGCTCACAACCCATTTTATGTTTAGGTTTAAGAATCTGGAGTATATTCCACATCCTGAGCCTTGTTTTGTTTTAGAACTGTCGGTGTAGATATGAATCGTACCTGCCACTTCCAGCTCTTTTATTTGTTCTATTATAACTTTATATGGTAACTCTGCAGTTTCTCGTTTCATTCTCTTTCCTTAAATTTTACTAGAGAATGTTCTTTAATTAGGTTTGTCACTGCCGATGTTGTCAGTCCAATAGAAGAGCCAGGTCCCAAAAGTATTTGGTTGGTTGCCTTCTTAGCTAGTGAACCAGCAAGACGGTTACCTTTGATCCATTTTAGGTTGGCCCCATTGTCGATGGTTACTTTGGCCAATGCTTCGTGACATTCTAGTACTAACTAAGTAAATACCTGGTCTGTCCAGAATAGTACTTGTTTATTTAGGTGAGCATGTTCCTTCCAGTGATATTGTTTCTGGTACTTTCTATTGCTGTTATGAGCCTGTGAGCTCGGTTTCATATATACTTACTATTGCTCATAGCCCATTTTATATTTAGGTTTAAGGATTTGAAGTATATTCCATATCCTGCGTCTTGTTTTGTTTAGAACCATCGATATAGATATGAATTGCACATGCCGCTTCCAGCTCCATTATTTCATTGTTCCTTTATACCTTTATATAGCTTATGGAAGATAGATCTCGGCGAGATAGCGTCCATGTTAGCTTGAAGCAGTGGAAACGTATCAAGCGCCCACCAAAAGCGATGTCTCACTTCACCAGATCCTACATCAGATTCTATTTCAACCGTGCGAAGTCATGTCATTATCATCAGAGCAATCTCCTTGATATAAATATCAAGGGGAGTAAGACTAAGAATTACTTCCATGGTTCTAGTTGGTGTAGTTTTCATAGCTCATGTTATATTGAGACATGGTGTTCTTTAAATGTGTTCTAGTTTGTGGATAACTGTCAATTGTTAGGTTTTAGATAACCAGACAACTGCATGTTAGCATAGGTCTTATGAGGGCCATCTAAGTCCATATTTATATGCAATGTGTATCCTTTTTTTTACTCTATTTTCCAGGTGTGGGTTCCATATCAACTTGGGGTCAAATATGAGACCTAGTACGTCCAAAGTTTACTTTTTGGTTTAGGAGTACTGGAGGTTCTAGTTTCATTTTCATAATTTTTCTTGTGAAAATAACCATTTGTATCTTCTTGGGACTGATAGACAGTGAATAGTCCTTGCACCACTGTTCTAAAACTTTGAGAGCTATTTGCATTCTTTCCCAGAATATATTCTCAAAATTCTCTGTTTGTAGAATGATCAGGTTATCTGCATATGCTATTGTGTAAAGACTGTTATTATTGAGGTTTCTGATGAGGGTGTCGAGGACCATGTTTCATAGTAAAGGTGGACATATCTTCAATGATACTCTTAAACTTTCATAGAAATTGATCAATGGAATAAATTAAATTCATTTAAACACTATTTTTTAATAGTTGGTCAATAAAAATTGAACAGCTAAGTTATTGTCAATTTCTAATCCATGGCTTCTGCTTATAAAATAAGTCGGTTTAAGTACAATCATTTTTACTGTTCAAAAAGATAATAAATTAATTGACTCGTTTGAGGCCCTCTACCGAGGGGGGCGTTCTGATCCCCAAATGTGATCGTAGACAAAAATGTATTTAGTTTTCATGACTACATGTTTGCTATTTTTTTGAAAACTGGTTGTTATTAAAAAGTTTTTGGAAATGTGTAGTTTTTGTCAAAAGATTATCCGATTTTATAAAATCGGTTGTTATTATTATAGTTAACTTTTATTTATTTATTTTTTTATTATTCTACGGGATATATTTAAAAATTACCATAACTTTTTAATCAGAAAATAATAATATTATTAATATTAATATACTTTATTTATAAAATAGATATACCTAATAGGTACTATAATAAACGAATATATATAAATAAAGTTAAGATATCGATAGGAAAATTTAATATTATTAAAATAGCTAGAATTTGATTTAAATTTAAAAATGTATAATAATAACTAGAATAAAAATAAAATATAGATATATGGATATTTTAAAATATACATTAACATACTCATATATTAAAATATAAAATTTAAAACACATAATAACACAACTATGACAAAAACTTATTTGTTATGCCAACAAATAAATCTTAAAATGTTTGATAAAGATAGAAAATGTTGAAAAGTGCTGGTAATTTTTTTATAATTTGTTGCCTGGATTATTTTGATGTAGTTATTTATTTATGTTCGTATGGAACCGTTTAAATATAATCGGTAATTAAAAGCCCTTATTTACAGGGCTTATAATTTAATACCTATTTGATAATGTATCTAGTCCGAGTATGAAAATACTATTTTTTATATCGTATTACTAAGTTTGTTTTCAATAAAACTATTGACATGAGTTTATTTTTAAAAGTGTATAGCGTAAATGTTCCATAAGTGAATATGTGGTAATGATTTTCACCCGAAACCTAGACAGTGTTTATTGTCACTTGTTGTCAATTTTCTGAATTTGTCTAAAATCTGCGTAAAAGATAAACTCAAATGAAACTTTAAGTTTGTAAATCCAGGAAGTAGACATTATCTAAAAAAATTACTAATAAATTATTTTACTTGAAAATTAATATTGATGCATGAAAATTTGGTATTTTATAATATTCAAAGTTTAGATCATTCCTTCTTTTTACTAATTGGTGATTCGTCGGGTTTCTGCCAAAACAAGATAAGTACATTTTTCTCATTATTAAAACTGTCTAAACTATGTTCTGACAGAACCAGATAATTGTATTAAACGCCAGTATACGTTGATTACAATAATCATCTTGGCAGCTAAAACAAGACAAGTGCATTTATGTTAGGTTTAAAAATTGTTTTAATTTTACTTTGTGTATTTCTGTCAAAATAAGATTTTTGCAACATATCTGCTTTTATCAGTATGGTTATTGTTTTAATTTTACTTTGTGCATTTCTGCCAAAATAAGATTTTTGCAACATATCTGCTTTTATGTATGGTTTTCTTTAAAATTTAAATTTTAGGGGACTAAAACAAGATAACTACCACTTATCGGGTTTTGACTGTATTGTTTATAATATTTATACTCGTAAAATAGCAGTTGTCCTGTTTTGCCTGTTTTGTTTAAATTTGACACATAACCTTAAAACCGTTTGACCGATAGATATCGTGGGCTAATATTTTATAATTTTTAATTGTTAGAAGCAAAGATAATAAAAAGAGAAGATGTGGATTAGCAATGCTTAAGATGGTTAGCCAACAAAAAGAAAGCACAGGTAAGCACTTTTGATTACTTTTTCCTTTATTGCATCTATTTTTGGTAGATGATAAAATGTGAAACATGTATTATTCACTTTAAAAATTTTTTTCTGAATAAGAAGACATATAGCCAGTATTCCTAATAACATATCTAACAAATCATACTTACTATTTTATAAACCAAAGAAGGACCAGTGTCAAGTTTGTATGCAGTATAAAACCTGCCAAAATTTAGAGAGAAAAGAAAAACTAGGAGAAAACGCTCATATAGCCAGAAAGAAATATTGTTATTCTGCTAAAATAAAAAAAAGAAGAAAGGGCCAAAATTGAAAAAAAAAATTGTTTGTTGCACTTTCGATTTGCAATGTGTTTTGCAGATACCTAGCAGTGACGTAAGTCCTATGTACTATAGTAGAAAACTATGCACGTAAAATCTCATCATTTATAACATGGCTCCTCCCAATGCTGCTTTTTGCTATGTTTGGACAGAATTAATTGGAAAGAGGTTGTTTGGAAATTGGTACATGTTTATATGAATATCTAAGTCAACTATCTGAGAATGTTTCAGAATTGTCACTGTTTTCAGACACATGCAGCGGCCAAAACCGTAATCAAAATATAAGTGCCCTAATGCTTTATTTAGTTCAAAACAATCCAAGTTTACAGGTAGGTAATAGAACAAACATTTCTAGAAAGTGGTCATAACTATATGGAAGTAGATAGTATGTACAGTGCAATTGAAAAAGCTCAAAAATGTGTACTATCCACGACTGGTAAACTATTTTTCGTATGCCCAGAACGTCAAGGTCTAACAAAAAGCCTTATAATGTTAAAGAAATGAAATATAAGCTGAAAAACTCCATGGGAGAAAAAGTTAATTGGCTAGAAGTATATGAAAAGTAAACCTCGGATTTTAGAATATCGTTATGACCATACTTCGGAGTACAAGGAAATACATGTTTTGGGCAAAGACCGTCCTCTAAATACAAATTAAATTAAAATCACAAAAGCGTAAAAAAATGTAGGCCCATTTCGGTTAAGAAAAAACAAGACCTACTGAAATTGTGTAAAAGTGATGTTACCCCCTGAAGAATACCATTATTATTACAAATCCTTGCCCACCTTTAAAAAGATAAAAGATTTAGTTCCAGAGCTAGCAGCTGAGGATTCTACTATAGAATAACTTCCTTTAGATGAGCAGGATAAATGAAACAAAACCAGGTTTTTTCTGCTAAATACTTTGGTAGTTTTTAAGTTTTATGATAAATCTATCTACTGTTTAATATCCAATTGCATTAAAACTCAGTTCATAAGTAAAAACGAAGTTTTTCTTTTCTACCTGATTTTTCCTCAAATGTTAATATTTTAAACATTAATAACTCAAATCTATAAAAATGTATCTTATCTTTTTTGGCAGTAACCCGATATATAGGTTCCTACTAGAGTAATCATTTTTATAAATTCTACTATAACTTGATGAATATTTATGGAACTTGTGCGCAGTATCTGTTTTTTTAATGTTGATGCACCAGGGGCGTATACAAGGGAGGGATGAGGGGTCTTCATTTTATAAGACGATTTAAAAAAATATTGGGAACAACAAAAAAAAACTAAATAATATTTTTAATAGTTTTTTATTAAAAATTTTGGTATACGTTCATTATAGCCACAATAATACCTTATCGATCCCCCCACCACTCCTTTCAAAGTTCACGTATCCGCCCCTGGAATACCTATATTTTTTAAATATTATTTTAGTTTTGGTTGGTATACATTATAAATAAATATTTCAGGATTGGATTATCAAGTCCATATCAAATTAATATTTTAAAAGTTCAAATAGGATTTTTTCTAATTTTGACCCATAAAATGACATTTTTTGAAATCGCAGCCAGTGTTAAAATGATATACTTTACACAACCAGTTGCATATTATGTTGAGAATTATGAAACTGGTCACGAAAAATTCATTATTATCATCAAAAAAGAAAACAAATAAAAATAAATTAATAAAATTAATGTATAACATTATTATATAACGTTTATATCAAAAATAGATAGGTTGATTAATAAAAATAGAATTTTGTTAAACTTACAATCTAGTAATAATGTTGTTTTGGTCCTTGTTTTTAATTCTAAATCAGCACAAAATAATTAAAATACAATAACGACAAAATAACCCAATTTCTTGAAAACTAAATAACTTACTAGCAATATTAACACACTACAAGTCGTTGAGAATAAATTATTATGATTTTCTATTTGTCAAATAAAAATAATGAAATAATGCAACTAACAATATAAAAAAGTAATATTAGTTTCATAGATGTTCGTAATTTTTTACCAGAACACAATTTTAAAAATAAAATAGTCAAAATTAGAAAAAATATTGTAACACGTTACAAAATGCCGTTTTATCTAACTCGTTACAAAAATTAGGCATTTCGTAACTGGTTGCATAAATAGCAATTAAAAACATTTTAAAAATGTACCTATTTTGACAACCGACGCTTAGTCAATTGAAATCCTTAAAAATTACCTAAAACAACGTGACGAACAGAACTTTGCCTCATAAAGGTTTGTTACTTCTAAAACTGAAGTAGTAAGTAAGGGTCTAATTTATACTCCCTTAGTATTAGTATTATGATTAAGCATTAAACTGTAAAAAATATTGTCGTTTTATATTTAGTATTTAGTATTAGTGTTTCTTTTTTAATAATCTTCTTCCTAATAACATATAATTCTGCAGTCAACAAAATGTTGGTTTCTGAAGAAATGTGTAAGAGGCCAGTTGTGTTCTTAGAATATTTTTTAAGATATTTGAGTTTTAATCGTGTTTTTATAAATATTTTTATTAGGTAAGTTTATTTATAAATATTTTTATTTAAAAATAGA